TAATTCGTCACAAAATGATTGCACTCATTTTTCCTTGCCAAGTTTTTATCCCAATTGAATTTTTCTTGGTAAGATTTTTAACGAGTCAATCATGAATTACGAATTTTATATACATCATTAATATACATAATTAATTTATTCAATTGTGTTAATAATGTCTGTTGAATGTTGATTTTAATTTTTATATAATTTTAACACAAATTAACTTAATAATTATAAAAATTAAAAAATATTAAAAAAAATTTTAGGCTATTCGGGCAGCCCGGCCGGGTTTGGGCGACCTGGCCGGGTTCAGACAGCCAAATATAAGCCCGCGGCTCGTTTAAGAATATTTTTGGGCTCGGGCAGGCAGCCCAAATTTTTCAGACGGGTCGGGCTCAGGCAAAAATTCAGTATTTTTCGACAGTCTGTCCAAAGTTCCAGCACTAATTGCCACCCAACATAAGCCTTCGTTCAACAGCATTTTGAAAAAAAAAAAACAAGATAAAAGATAAAAGGAAAAAGAAAAACCCTAAAGCCCCCAGCCATCGACCCTCCCGCTGTGCGATCCCCCGAGTAACGGAGCTCGTCCCCCAAGTCTTTCCACCGTCGCGAGCAACGTAGCCACCGCTTTTACCGCGCCGATTTCAACCCACCTGTAAGCCAAGCTCCTCCATGGTTGGTTTTCTTTGCTTTTTTTTGGTAATTTTTGTTTGTAATTGGGATTTTGTGGTGGAAATACCTAGTCTTTGAGGAGATCTGAGCGTTTCTATTATAATCGTTAATTTCCCTTTGCTTCTATGATGGGACGGGATTTCATAGATTTTACAAATCTCAAAATCTTAGCTCATTGGTTAATAATGGTTATGGTAGAGTTTCCCCATTTGGGTTATTATGTGGTTGTTGTGATTTGCCAAATGGTATTGCCTTGTGAAGATGAGATTGAGACATTGAGGAGTGGGAGCAATGGAGAAAATGAACAGTCCTATTAGTATTTGGGAAAACAGTAGAGTGGCGAAGAAAGGAGAGTTTCGTTATGGTTGTACCGGAGCTTGCGATTTGTTGACCATAAGAAGGAAAAGAGCGTGAGCTTCAGTTGTGTTTGTCATTTTTGTTTGAAGTTGAAGTTGGGTTTATAGATTATTTAAGTTTTTTGTTTGAAATTTTTATTTGAAGTTTAATTTATGAAATAGAAATTAGTTTATATGCCTAGAACTCGTTTTATGAGGCTTACGCCTTGCCTCGATTAGACACAGCTGCTTGGTTCCCGCCTTCTAAATCCATGAATCTTAGTTGAACTGCTGCTTTAGCTTGCTCATTCTTTGTTTATCTTTATAAAAGAAATATATATGTATATGCTCTCACATATCTACTTACAAGAAAAATAACTAGTACGTATAAGTTTTTTCTTTTTTCCACGTTTTTTGCATTAACTTGTTTAAAATCATATAATGTTACTTTGCAAACCTCCTGTTCTCTTGATTTGCCATTTCGGTGTACTTCAGTTGTTTTCTTGGGATCTCAAAGTTTTGTTTACTATCCGTACAATAATTACTTCTCTGTCCATGTTTGCATATCTATTTCATATTTTCTTTTTTGAAAAGAAGCTTTATGGGGTTCTGTTTGTTTGAATATTTCTGCCACAGTTTCGACCGATGGTTCCAAATCAGCATGGACAGCCATTTATTCCATCTTCACAACAATTTCAACCAGTTGGACAGGGTATTCCACCTCCGAACTTAGGAATGCATCCTGCTCATAGTCAGCCAGTGCAGTTTTCTCAACAGATGCAGCAGTACCCTCCTAGGCCTAGTCAGCCCGGTCATCCTATGCCTTCATCGCAGGGTTTACCAATGTCGTACATTCAGACAAGGCCAATTGCACCTGGCCCACCACAGTCTCAGCAACATGCTGCCCCTTTTACTAATCAGATGCCTCCTGGTGGTGCAATGCCTTTTTCTTCTTCATATTCCGTAAGATATGATCAATATCATTTTACTATATGAGCTTCCTTCACTTGGTTTTATGAAGCACGTTCTGTTTATATCTCATGCATGTACTTACCTAGTTTTTCATATTTCAGTATGCACCATCTTCTTTTGTCCAGCCACAGAATAATGCCAGCTCGGTGTCACAGTTCCAGCAAATGTCTCAAATGCAAGCACCTACAGCACCTGGTCCTGGACAACCTTGGCTGTCCTCTGGAATTCATAGTGCACCACCTGTTGCTCCAGGACAGCAGGTTGGCCAACCGCCTTCTGCTGCTTCTTCTGCAGACGCTGTAAGTGCATTCTTTGTTTTGGTGATTCGATGTGCATTTCCGTGTATTCATTATGGTCAGAGATTTGTGCAAGCTGACTTGCTTGCTCTGTACTTTTGGATTTTTCAGGCAACAAATGTTCCTAGCACTACCCAGCAGTCATCATCTGATTGGCAAGAGCATACATCCTCTGATGGAAGAAGGTAACTTAGTTTTTATGGCTTTTTTTTTGTGGTTTATTTCTTCTCTGATAGTGGATTTGTACTTAAGTTTGAAATGTTCAGTGTATTAACAAGAGATTTAGTTAAAATCTTGATGTTATTCTCTCTCATGAATTTTTGTGTTTATATTTCGGTTCGTTCAGTAATTGATGTCTTTATTTTTCGTTTCTCACAGATATTATTACAATAAAAGAACTAAACAATCTGTTTGGGATAAGCCTGTGGAATTGATGACACCTATTGAGGTGAGTTTTTATGCTGACATTGCGCTTGATCTAGTCTATGTGTCATCTCCAGTTCCCTGCATGACGTGCATTCATTGATTGTCATTGTAGTTGTATGATTTTTCTGGGCCTTTATGGATGCTGATGATTGTAGCCATCTTAACTTGATCAGAAGTGTTTTATGTGAATTTTCCTTTTATTTGCATGTGCTTCCACTGGTTTGTAGATGTCATGGCAAGTCTGGAGAAATTTTACGCCTGCTCCTATATGCTCACTTTGAAGACGGGGTTTCAGTTTCACAAGGCAGGCAATAATGCTATTTACATCTTATTTATCATGTAGTTGGATGTCTTAATAATTGCCATGTAGTAATAGTTGCCTCCTCATTTCTTCTAAAGCTAAAGACTAATAGTTGCTTTCTCCCTTCCCTTCTCTTTAGTGGATAGTTTGGATTGTGGTTATGTGCCTATCCACTGGGGCTGGAATACTCTCTCTCTCTCTCTCTCTCTCTCTCTCTCTCTGAGTTTGTGTATATATATGTTTTTGTTTTATTTATATGTTTCTGCTATGTATGCTTCTTTTCTTCTTCTCTTTTTTTTTTTTTTTCTCTTTAACTATATAGTTAAATATTTAAGTATATACTTATTTGTTTAAGAGCATGTATGCTGTCGCACAACATGGACTTTTGTTTTTTTTAATAGGAAAAGAAACGTGTATTTTTTTAATGCTTCTCACTTGTTTAACCCTCGTATTTTATTGGGTCAACTTTGCATGAGTTGTTTTCTGTATATGACTTCTTTGATGTGTATGGTTTTTAGAAGGTTCTAGTCTACAGGCATACTAGTCCTACTAATTTGAGGTATGAAAAATGTTAGCACTTGTTGTACCTAATTTTAAAATCACAATTTGTGCTTTCTGTTCGTATTTATCTCATGTATTGATCATTAGAGACTGGGCTATGTTTCCTTTTCGACAAATTTTCATGGTGATCATGTCTTTGATTAGTTTTGATCTCTTCCTTTCATTATTTTTCTTCTTTTTGTGGCGGGATGGAAGTTTTTTGATAGAAATACATACCTTATCTAAGCTCCATTTTTTTTCCTACCAGGGATGCAACTGTTTAGGTTTATTTATCTGATACCTATTAAGATTTTGTGTGTTTGAGCAGGACATACATTTTGTTTTCCCATACATGTCCAGGGATTTTAAATTGAATACGTTTTCTTTCTAATTTTTCACCTTATTTCTGTTTAGATGTTTGTTAAATGAAAGTTAGGCGCACTGGTATATTTTCTTTTGTGGCTAATAACTTCTTTTATTCACACACATGTATTGTCTTTTTCTGCTCCGCTGCAGAAACATGTGCTTATCTAATTATATTGGAGCCTTTTTATTTATTTATTTATTTTTTAAATCTGACTGATTTCGTGTTCATTGTTTGCAAAGGATTTCTTTTAAATTTTAAATTTTCTTCATTGTTTTGACTGCTTCAGAGAGCTGATGCATCAACTGTATGGAAGGAGTATAGTTCTCCAGACGGAAGAAAGTTAGTCATCTCTCGCGTTCTACCCTATCTACAATTTTGCCTCTGTTAATAATGTTATTATATTACTTTCTCCCGTGATGCATTTTTTGGTTCCATTGTGCTCTTTGTAATTTGGAAATGGCTTGGCTTTTCAGGTACTATTACAACAAGGTCACAAAACAATCCAAGTGGACGATACCCGAGGAATTGAAGGTTTTTCATAATGTCTTATAACTCCCTGATTTTTCCAATGTTTTTTGTACATCTACTCTAATGAGAAATACTTGCTTTTAGCTTGCTCGGGAACAAGCTCAGAAAGAATCTAGCCAAGGAATGCAATCAGAAACTGGTTTAGCTTCTCATGGTCCTGTTGCTGTTGGTTCATCTGAAATGCCCAGTGCTGGTACTCCGGTGGCCTCTGGTGCTCCTTTGGTGGCAACTGGGGTTGCATCAAGCCCAGTTGCTGTTACGCCTGTGGCTTCCTTACCAAATTCTTCAATGACAATTTCTGGATCATCAGCTACCCCTGGTTCACAGTCTGCTGTAGCAAGTGCTGTTGCAGTTCAACCTCCCATGGTAACCGTGACTCCTTTGAATCCTGCTATTTCGGGAAGTACTGGAGTTTCACCTGCTCTGGGAAATGCCAATACGACACCAGTGTATGTTTTTCTTTTATGCTTTCCAGTACCCATTTTTTTTTGCTCATCTTTTGTAATGAGAAACGTGGCAGTAGTTTGAATGCTTCTTTGGGCAATCTCAGGAGAACATATGACAATCGAGTGTCACAAGATATTGCAAGTTCGGTAGATGGAGCTTCCATACTGGATATTGAGGTATTTTTAAGCTTTGTAATTTGAAGGCCTGAAGTGAATCAGTATATTTCAATGAAGTTAAATAGGTACTCTTATGGGCTGCATAATGACAAAAAATAACTAGAGAAATTTGTCTGCTCTAGAGTGGGCTTTCCTTTGACAATAGATTAGGAACAGGCTGTATTGATTTTTTTTTCTTATCCCTTTTCTGTCCTTTCTTTCACTAACAAATAATGAGTTTTTACTAGGTTTTGACGAGCTCACCTTTCCAAAAAAAAAAAAAAAAAAAAAAAAAAAAAAGAAAAAAGTTTTTACTAGCTCATATCGCAAAATGCTGATACCCGCTCATAGATTCGGAAGGCGCTTATTAAAATCAAATGCCTAAATTTTCTTTTTTCTAAGTTCGTTTTTTTCTCTGGCAGGAGGCAAAAAAAGGCATGGCAGTTGCGGGAAAAATAAATGTAACTCCTGTGGAGGAGAAACCAGTAGATGATGAACCTTTAGTATTTGCTAATAAGCAGGTACAGCCCTAGAATTTGATGTTTTGGTTCAATTTGTTTCCACTAATTGGGAAACACTATGAAAAGTTTCGTTTCCTCCTCTCACCAATTATTCTTTTTCTTTAGGAGGCAAAAAACGCATTCAAATCACTTTTGGAATCTGCAAATGTTCAGTCTGATTGGACCTGGGAACAGGTAGCTTCACTATACATTGTGTACTCTTTTCATCTTCATCTTTCCTAATAAGCTTATGACTGATATTGAAATTCATACCAGGCAATGAGAGAAATTATCAATGACAAAAGATATGGTGCTCTGAAAACACTAGGTGAGAGGAAGCAAGCATTTAATGAGGTATTATTTTAAATAGTCTCACAGGACTCCTTTTGTTGTGGATTAGTTTAATTACATTTAGATGGTATTGTGCTCGGAACGGTGTACCCTTTCCTTGTTGTGTGGTGTGTTCAAGCCATGTTTAATGATGTCTCCGATCTTGTCTCATCAACATAAAGTTAATACGCATCTGTTCTGTTTCAGTACTTGGGTCAAAGGAAGAAGCTGGAGGCTGAAGAGAGGCGCATGAGGCAGAAAAAAGCTAGGGAAGAATTCACGATAATGTTGGAAGTATGTTGGCTATTATTTTCATGTAAAAGTAAATCTCCTCTTCAGAGCACATGTTTTGTAACTCATTTTCCTACCTCTATCCTTTTTTCAGGAGTCCAAAGAACTCACATCATCCACCAGATGGAGGTTCTCTCCTTTTCCTGTATCATGAATAGTTTTATATCAGATGAATTGTGACAATGATAAGTGTTTTAAATGTTGCGATTGAACTTTTGTGCCTGATCAGCAAAGCTGTAAGTATGTTTGAAAATGATGAACGCTTCAAGGCTGTTGAACGAGCTAGAGATAGAGAAGATCTTTTTGAAAGCTACATTGTGGAACTTGAAAGGAAGGTAACAGTCTACTCTTTTACCTAGTTCATTTATAAATCACACGGTGAAGTACTGATTCATAAGTAACTACAGATTTGTATGTACCAATGTTTATGTGTTTGTATGGTGAAATTGTATACTTGAGCGCAGGAGAAAGAAAAGGCTGCAGAAGAGCATCGTCGGAATGCAGCAGAATACAGGAAATTTCTAGAATCTTGCGACTTCATTAAGGTATACTACATATATTAATAACCAATTATTTATTGTGAATACTTTTTATTTATACCCCCTCACAAATTGGCTGCCATTTGCAGGTGAATAGCCAGTGGCGAAAAGTTCAAGTTCGCCTGGAGGATGATGAGAGATGCTTGCGCCTTGAGAAGCTTGATCGCTTGCTCATTTTCCAGGTATATTCTCTTCTTTTTTTTTTACTATTATTTTTTTTTTCTTTATCTAAAAGCTTTTTTAAAAAATTGGAAAATATATATTGCTTGTTTACATTTGTCCTTTTGTGGTTGTCTGCGGCAGGACTACATCCGTGACCTGGAGAAGGAAGAAGAGGAACAAAAGAAGATACAGAAGGTATAGTCCATATTAATGAGCTTTTATTTCTTATATTGTCTACTTATTTTATTTTGACCAAATATAAGGAACAATTGAGGCGAGTTGAGAGGAAAAACCGTGACGAGTTTCGCAAGCTTATGGAAGAACATATTGATGCTGCTGCTCTTACTGCTAAAACTCCATGGCGGGATTATTGTTTGAAGGTAGTCAACCTCTCTTTCACTTTTGTGTGTAACATTTGAAGAAGGAGATGCAGTAGATTAAAAGAAATCATAACAGTCTTTATAGGAGTGGGTCTCTTATTGAGTGTTGCTATTTCTGGATGGTAGGTTAAGGATTTGCCTCAGTATGAAGCTGTTGCATCAAATACCTCTGGCTCAACACCTAAAGACCTGTTTGAGGATGTTACTGAAGAATTAGAGAAACAGGTAAGGATTCTTTTTGGAATTGTCTATTGGTTACTTAATCCACTTTGGAGCTTCCAAATAAGATATGATCTTCTTGTTTTGTTTGATGGCTGTTGGAAGAAAAAAATGATATTTTCCCTCGCCTCCCAAGTGTTGGAGGTTTAAAATGACTTGCATGTGATGTTTAAAATTCTAGATTTGTGTGATGCTAGTTCTTGCAGTCCATCTCAACTAATTTTGCTCGAGTCAATATTTTGTTTACAGATTTGGATGATGAATTTTTCTGATGCTACTATTGAGCTTCCCTCAGACTTGAGCTGTCCTATTTTCATGGTTTTATTAATTTTTTTATAAAAAAAATTTTGTGATGCAAGTATTTTGAGGCACTGACTTAACATTGCGTCCAGTCATCCAGTTTAATATTATTATATATACGCTAGATGTAATTAAAACCTTTAGATGCTTTTGATTGCATGTACGAGTAACATTATCCCTTCTGTTTATTGACAGTATCATGATGACAAAGCTCGTGTGAAAGACACACTGAAGTTGGGGAAGGTTGGTTTTTGTGAACTTCTATGGCACTTGAAGAGCATGCATAGTTTATAACTTTTCCCTCCCTCTTCAGGTTTCCTTTGAATCCAGCTGGACATTTGATGACTTCAAGGCAGCTATCTTGGAAGACATTGGTTCTCCTCCAATATTAGAGATAAACTTAAAGGTACGCTTCTTTTTTTTTTTTTAAATACAATTTAAGAGCATCTTTAATGTATTGTGAAATTAATATGCCAATGCCAAATTTAGGCACTTAGATAAGAAAACTACTCTCCAGTGCAACGCTATTTTATTTTTGTTGCTAGATTTGGCATTTAGTTGCTGTTGGTTTGTGTAGACCTTTTCTTTCATTTACAACATTGACATTTATAAGTTTCCTTATACACCAAAGCTTGATAATTAGGACAAAAGGTAGTAAGCATTTGAAATATCATTATGCATAGAATGAATTAGACTAACATATCAAATATACCATTTTCACACTTCTTTTTGTTGCCGAATATAGCATTGGCTGCATTGGAGATATAAGATGTTTTCCATTTTTGCGGGAGGCATGGTTTATATATGCACACCATCTATTCTCGTGCTTCTCTAACACGTAGTTTCTTTCTTGAAGCTTGTATATGAGGAGTTACTAGAGAGAGCCAAGGAGAAAGAGGAGAAAGAAACTAAAAAGCGTCAACGTCTTGCTGATGACTTCACTAAGCTATTACACAGTAAAAAGGTATAGCTAAATAGCGTGCTATTTAAGGAGAGAAGTGTATATTGCAGCGTGCTCACTGATGCTATACAATTTTGATTGTTGTGCTTGTAGGAAATAACTACAACTTCTAATTGGGAGGATTGTAGACAACTTTTTGAAGAGTGCCAAGAATACAGGTTCACTTACCACAAAATTGAGAATGTCTGTTGCAATCTCTAATGAGATTAATTTTTTAACTCTTTTGAAATTGTCATTAGAGCAATTGGTGAGGAGAGCGTGACAAGGGACATTTTTGAGGAATACATTACACACCTACAGGAGAAGGCTAAAGAGAAAGAACGGAAGCGCGAGGAAGAAAAAGTATGTGGTTTGGATTTGGTTCCATGGATTAGAGTTTGTTCAGCAAGTTCTTTAGAATGCATTCATGTTTGATATTGTTTGGCCAATGCGTTTTGATCATTTGATTGTATGTTTTATATGATCTTTTAATTGTTGCAGGCCAGAAAAGAAAAGGAGAGGGAGGAGAAGGAGAAGCGAAAAGAGAAGGAGAAGGATAGAGATCGTGAAAGGGAAAAAGGGAAGGAACGATCTAAGAAGGAAGATACAGATAGTGAGAACATGGACATAACTGATAGCCATGGTAATAAAGAGGATAAGAAAAGGGAAAAAGACAGAGACAGAGACAGAGACAGGAAACACCGGAAGCGGCATCAAAGTGCTACAGATGACATAAGTTCAGATAAGGATGAGAAAGAAGATTCTAAGAAACGCAAACATAGCAGTGACCGCAAAAAATCAAGAAAAGTACTTTGATAACTTTCGAAGTTAGCTTTCCATTTCTGATGTCTTTGAAAGGTTCTAATCTCATCTGTACTTGGATTTCATACATTTCTTTTCCCCGACATTTCTTGGCAGCATGCTTACTCACCCGAATCAGATGGTGAAAGCCGGCATAAAAAGCACCGGAGAGACCACCGGGACTCCCGCAGAAATGGCGGACATGAGGAACTTGAAGATGGAGAGCTTGGGGAGGATGAAGAAATCCAGTAGTCGTATTGGTTTGTGGAAGATTCAGGTAATTTCATGGCCTAGACATAGTGGACACATCTTCGTCGGGCATACATAGTATGGTTTCAGAGATGATACGGTGTATGCATTGTTAATTATGACAGTAGGACTAATTTGTAACAAATTGTGTTCCTGAATGACGTATGGAAAGGTATGTTGGATTTCTGTGTTAGCATGGGGCGTTTAGGAAAAGATCAACGGGACATGTAATGGAAAAATGAACTAGTGATTTGTAGGAAAGCACAAGGGTCAAATAATACGAGCACTTCTAATTATTTGCATTTTTTTATTTTTTTATTTTTCAATAAGACCGAGAGACTTGATTTGTTACCTACTTCCGGATGCCATTTATAAATGTTGCAGTGGCTGGCAAGTGGTGCTTTCTCTTGCGCCAGCATAATCTGTTCGTATTTACAAAGTTAAGAGCAGGAGAAAAAAAAAAAGAAGTAATATATCATCAGATAACTGAAATCTGACTAGTATGCCTTGCACTGATGGTTAACAACTGGATAAAGTGGTTGGTGCTTGTATTTCAATTTTCAGCTGTATTTATTGAACAGAAAACGACAAGAAATTTTTGTATCCCAGAACTACATGTCGTTTCACATCCAAGGACACGAACCTTCAAAATTAGGACGACGTGTCGTTAAGATTCATAGTCAACTAACATAAATTTTACAGCACATCGTTTTGAACGAGCATGACGAAAAGTAGTTGGAATATATCAACATCGATGCTAAATGTTCGAACTTCTAATGAGCCCTTTTTAACGTACCCACTTTACGTGCGTAAACGGGGTGCTTTCATTTCATGTGCTCATGTTTATGATTACCTCACTTTCAATGACGTGATGAATAAATATCTTTTGTAAAGAAAACGCTCTCCGAGGAAGTGAGGCTGAGAGTAAGGTATTGCATATAATTAATTAACAGGAACTTTTATGATAATGCGTTTCTTAATATCACAATGTATGCAAATCATAATAATGAATGAATATATAACTAGCTAAATTCAATAAAAATATGATTACTAAGATACATTTACTACCGGCGAGTAGGAAAAAAAAAGTACTATGTTACAAGTCCCTTGCTCAACAAGTGATTGGTGCCAAAAAATCTCAGTTGCTTAATTCAATAACAAAGTCATTCACAATCTCTTCTGCAAGGGAATCTCCAATCTCTGAACAAATTTCCCCCTTTTCTTGGTCAAAACCAAACCATTCTTGAGCAGAATCGAAGAAGTCCAAACCCAACAAATAAGTTATGTTATTGGTCTCATCTCCAACTTGTTTACCCCACGCCTTCATTTTCTCCCAAACAAGATTCCCAAGCTCCTCAGGCCCCAAAAGTCCTTCACACGTTTTCACTTTTTCCTTCTTTACTTGGCTTTCCACAATTTCTCTCACACAGTCAAACAAAAGCTGCCTTGTTTGTTGTAGCATTCTCTTGGATTTCAGAAACTTTGATGAAGTATTATTAGACTTGATGAGCTCCAATATTGGAATATCATCAGTAACTCCAATACCATTTCTGATTGGCTTTTGTGAATCAGAGTGAAAATGTAATTCACAGAGAGAAGCTGAAAACATTGAACTTAAATCTTCAGTACTGACCAATTTGTTGGGCAGAATGACCGTACAAGTCATTTCAATATCCTCTTGATTTTGCCTTGTTCGAACTTTGAGTTGGGCTGTTTATTTAAACAAACAAAACCCAATATAGATTCAGAAGAAAAAAAAATATTGTGGATTAAGCAAAGCCAAAATAATTATTAGGTTATGTTTCAGAGAGAGAGTACTGACATGAAGGTAGTTGTTCTAGTACTGAAAGGGGGCTGTGCTGTTTATTGTTTGCCGTGAATTGACATTGAAACTCTCCACCTACATAAACCTGTTGGCTTTGTTAACAAACCTTACCAAATTAACTACACATAAGTGATCTTATATAGTCTTAAACTAAACCAAAATTTTTAGCGAAAAATACGAAAAGGGTGCTAAGGAAATTAGCATTCATACCTCTTTCTCTGTTACATAGCTGAATCTCAAAGCTTCCAAAGTGTTTGCTGCAACAACTGACTCATGATTTTCACGCAATGAATTGGTCGGTGATCTAGCTTTATCACTCTCGGAGCACAAATTAAACACCGTAGTACTACTAGCTGAAGAAAACCAATCTGGTTCAGCTACTACTTGGCCATTATTGTCACTAAATTTTCCCCCACAACTCTTAGTGTTCCTCGATTTAGTGCTGTGAGTAAACTTGTTAACTAAAGCTCTCAATATTCTTGAACATCTAGGAATACCCTTTTTCGAGACCTTGTTTGAATTGCCATTGCAGCATCCAAAACCGGCTTCTGAGTTCAAATTCAAGCCTTTTTTCAGATACCCTCTATCAACCAAGTAAAGGTCAAGGACAAAAGGCTCTTGTTGTTGTTGTAGAAGCTCTCCAAGTTGTTTAGCAGGTTTGGTTATTGTGGAAGCCATAACAAAAATTGTGAGCTTAGTGAATGAGAAAATATGAGGATATTGGTTTTGCAAGTGTAGTTTGATCAATTGGAAGAGGATACGGTTTTGAGGTATGGGAGAGTAAATTGAGGATTATACGTGTCTGTCAGTTTGGGAACTGAACAAAACAGAGAGAAAGGGAAGATCGTGCATTTATTGAGACTTTAGAGAGAGAGAAAGAGAGAGGAGAGAGGAGAGAGAGTCCAAACAATCTAGGTTGTACGTCTTTAAATGCTGGGGGTAGCTTATTCCAACTTTCCAAGATTGCCTGGACGCAGAAAAAGTTGTAAGATTTGGGTGTGTTATTTATCTTTTGTCTTTGGTTCTGGTCTGTTTTGCATAAGAAAACAAATGATTGCACGTCTGTTTTCTATCTTTTCTTGGTCAAAGCTCTATCTCTCTCTGTGTATGCAAACACATAGAGAGTTGATAAAAATGGTCCCCCAACAAATTTTGTCTTGTCTGTGAGAGAGAGTAACCAAAAAAAAAAAAAAAAAGGAAGGCTGGGAGGGGCAGCAGGGGCAAATTGAATGATTCTGCTTGGAGTCATAACTCAAACCCCATAACGTATTACATAATAGGGATTGCAACACAAATCTCTCTTATTGTTTTATTAAATTAATATGTTCCACCTTATTATACTTATATGCGGAATGTTGCATGTAATTCTCGTATTTTACAAATCGTGTTAAAAATCTCTTTTATTATTTTGTGCAAAGTTAAAAGCGGTTTTTTACTCGATGACGTTACATATAAGAGCTAGTTTTTACTTTTAACACACAACAGTTTAATAAAACGCGGGTAGATCTTTTGTTATTATCCCTACACATTATTGTTACGCAGCATAAAACATGTGTTGTTTGCATGTGTCATGATAAACGGGTTTTCTGGCTTCTGCCCCTTCTATAAAGGCAGTAAGGCACTTTGATATTTTCTTTATTTTGTTCCAATAAAGAAGAAAAGGAAAGCTGATAATGTCTTTATTGGGGCAGGCTCTAGATATCGGGTAAAAGTAAATGCAAGCATAATCATGAACATGGGAATTCGGGGACCAAGAAAGGGAGTAAACGCTATGACATTTGTGAGTTTCAGGTGACAAATCATTTTTGTTAACAAGTACGGTATAAATTTTCTCGAGAAAATCTTCCAGAAATTATGATAACTAGTCAATCTCTCTTTGATTTCAACTCTTTTCCTGATCATGATATGAGTAAAAGATTCTCGTTGCTCACAAGGATCTCACTAAGGAATACAAAATTGAAACTAACCATAAAGTTATTGATGCTATTCTTTCTTCTTGTCCTTTTGAAACATAAAATGAAAAGAAAAAACTGGTCCTTTTGTCTTCATTCTCGATAAAGACAAAATTCAATTCCAAATGTGTTTGTTATAACATCAAGGTCTACCAACATTAAGAGAAACTTGTTAGATAGTCTACACCAGCATAGAGATGGAATTTTCGGATTGATTTCTTTTTAAAAGAAAAACCACGATGATCCAACTAAAGGAATATGTGAATCTGATATAATTTTCATGTTAAACCTTAATCTGATATAATAATGTCCCCGTGAATTGGCCATTATGCAATAATCACGGAGTCTAATTAGTGTGAAGAATCTGTTGTACCTAACTTGAGACACTTTTACTAAATATTTGTCCATGTGGTGAATAATCTATAGATTCTTTTATTATTTTGGATTATGGTTGTGGTGGGGTATCTATATTTGAGTTTGTTTTGCATTATGTTGATGGGATGTGGCATAGGTCTCAATTTCCGTCACAATCTTATCAACATCTTTAACGCACTCGATTAAAGAACAAGTGCGCCATTACTTTTAGGGCTAATTGAAATCTTGAAAATTTTTGCTTTGTCAAGTTTTTAAAAATACACTTTGAAGGGAGAAAAAGAAATGATATATTGTCCAACTTTTCTTGTTTCAACAAAAAATAAAAAAA